CCTAGAAGATTGCGTTCTCCAAGGATGCCGATCCGATCACGCTCCAGTTGAAAGTGCTTGAAGATCGAACGCAACATCACGCGCCCATTGGGCATTGTACCTGCGGTGTTCCGTTCGTGCTCCACCATGTTTTGGAACAGCAACCCAAACTTGCCTTTGCGACACGTTTTCAACAGCTTGGCGGCTATCTCACGGGTTGTGCGTGGGAAACGTTTATCTGCCCTGAGTTGTTCCTCGGATGAGGTCAGGCAATCCTGAGCCCAGAGATAGAGCTCGTCACCGGTCGTCTTTTGCAAACGTCCAATGGCCATGAGGACTTGATTCACGTATCCACGCGCCTGTCCGGCGTTCTCTGGCGGAAGCGGAAGCACTAAATCCTTAAGGTCCTTTATGCGAACCACGGTTTCCTCATACGAGGCCGGATCTGATGCGCTTGTAGCAGCATCCCCACCACTTGCATCTGCTGCTTGAGTACCTTGTCCCTGACCCCCATTCATGGAAAGGGAGGGGCAGGCGGTATCATCATGCGGGCCACCACAGACACGGCATGAAGGGGTATGACCCTCGTCACCGGATTCTGAGGATGTGTCGGAGCTTGCCTCCGAAGGTGCGAGTGGGGAGGATGGGAATTGAGCCACTTGACTTGTACTTGCACTTGTTAGCCTAAGCGTGGGGACAGCAGTTGTGTGCTGGGCAGCTACGGATGGGGGTGCCTGAGCCGATGCGATCGGGGGCGAAGCCCCTGATACCCCTACCTGGGCCTCAACTAACTTTGAAAGTTGATGGACCAGCTCAGTTAAAGAGGACATTTGTGCCTGTACGTCTACAGGTCCCCTTACATCCTGAGTCCGAGCGACATCCGGTGGTCCTTGTGGTTGTGCACGTGGATCACCATCCTGGATTTGCACACGCTTGGCATCTGACTTGATGTCGGGCTGTGGGGGAGCGAAGGATTTTGGGAAACCAACAGGGGCACGTGGCGCTACCTTAGGGTTGCTACTTGAACTTCCCGATGCGCCTAGAGCTGCATCCTTCGGGGGACACTGCTCACGTGTGGCATCACTCGGCCCTTGAACTTGGGGAGCCTGTGATCCAACCTGAAGGTCACTTCCAACGTCATTTAGCCCCGATGACCCGGGATCCGTAGGATTTTGACTTTCATGACTTTCATCCGGAGGTACCGGAACATTTTGTGCCATGGATGCGACAGCCCTTTCTAGGTCAGCAAGGCGTTGCGACAACAAAAGGTTTTCAGTCCCTAATGTATCTATCACTTTGCTTTGCTGGAGGATCTTCTGTTCCCGTGAGGAAATTTCTTGAATAGCCTCCTGTCTCAACCTGGACACTTCGGCCTCTGCGGCCGACCTTGCTTGTTGGGCTTCATGCCTAGCACGTTCAACATGGCCTACGGCTTCCTGTCTTAACAGATGGACATGGCCTTCAGCTTCCTGCCTCACCTGTTGAACATGGCCTTGGGCTTCCTGTTGAGAATGCTGTGCAGCTTGTTCAGCTAATGCTGTCTGAGCACGGGCTCGTTCGACTGCTTGCTGGGCTTGGTATGTCAGTTCCGTTGCCTGTTGTCTAAAGGTCTGCTCCCTTTGTTGCGCAACAGCGGCAACCTCCCCTAGCCTTTGGCGTGCCTCGTCCGCTGCTCGATGCTCGTGAAGGGCAACATTGGCAGCCTGATCAGCAATGAGCGAAGCTTGATGCGCACGTTGCAATGCCGATCCGGCCACGAATGCAGCGGCACTCATGTCCCTAGATGGGTCGGGCGTAGGCACTTGCGGGCTATATACAAGGGGGGTTGCAGTAGAGTCTGAATCAGGTTCCTCTACAATGGGAGTCCTACGGGGAGGAGTCGCGTTTCGGTCGCGGCTACGAACATCTCTTGATGAGGATGCCCTGGAACCTACGGGAACTACGGACATTGCGGGTACCGAAATATCACCGAGTTCAGGGTCTTCCTCATTAGATTCTCCCCCAGGGGTTGACCTTGACCTATCATCCGAAGGTGGGGAAATCCCTGATGCCATGTCGGATGCACCTTTCACACGAGGCCAGGCTCACGTATGCTGACACACCGCGCTTCAAGCTGCGGCCCTTGAAACTTATAATACAACCGGTGTTGGAAACCGGTGCACTTGACCGGTGTTGGAAACCGGTGCCTTTGCTGCGCTTGAGCTGCAGCCTCCGGCAGTGCCAGGTCAGCGAAAAAGTCCGCGGCCGCCCCTTGCAGAGTGGGGGCGGTTACCAACTTCTTCAAGGTACTCTGTCTGGTCGAGTACTCTGGCAGGACGGAGGAGGCGTCGGTGTTGGTTGAGATACTCGTGGAGCTCGTCCAACGCCTCGTAGAGCGCCCGATTGGCGTCTCGCCGCTCGACACAAATGCCGAGTGCGCCTGCAATGCGGCACTCCCTCAGGGTGGCGTTGTTGTCGTCGATGATGACGCTCGCCCCCAGCTGCGCTAGAGCTGCAGCCTTGCCAGATGGACCAACCCGCTTCCAAGTGAGGACAACGTCTCCAAACGGAGGGGTGCCCAAACCGTCGATGGAGTCGTTGCAAACGCGGGTGAACTGGGTGGCAAGCCGAAGGGTGCTCTCCCGTGTTTCACGGGCTTGACAGTAACTCACGATACGAAATTGGATAGGAAAATGGTTTCGGTACAGCTTTGCTAGCGTCCGAAATAACCAATCCTTTGGCGCACCGTCGGGCTCGATGGCAATATCGAGCGTGTTATGCCAGTCAAGGCAGGCGATGATCGGCTCCCTGGCGTCAGGTTGAGGTACGCCGAAATCGGGTGTTCCGTCACCGGAGGGTGCTGCTGCACTTGGGGGCTGCTTGACCGGCAATTTGGGTGCCGGGGCAGCCTTGAACCTCACCTGTGGTGGTGGTGAGGGTGGCGCCCGCTTGTAGGCTTTGGGCGGCGTCTCAGGCCGTTTTACCCCGCTAATCGATTTTGGAACCGACACTGCGCGTTGAGCTGCAGCCCTTGGCACTGGTGCTGGGCATGCTGGTGGTGCTCTCAGCGGTGGTGGGGGTATGGCCTTTGACGCAGCGCGATCCGCAGCTGCCTGGTCAATTACGCTTTGTGGGGGCGCTTTGACCTTGGATTCCCGCTAGGTAAAAACTATCCGAGCGGTCTTTGTTGCAGGTGCTGTGGATGAGTTGCGCCCGGCAGGTGCAGGCCTCTTGATGCTGACCTGCTCAGCCTCGTACACCCTGTCCGGGTTGAAGGCCGCCAAGCCTGAGTAAACCTCACGCGCGGACCTTTCGGGCGGCGGTGAGGCACTCAGGTCAAAATGTTCGGCCCTCCCGTGTCCTCTGGGAGGGTTGCTTGAGGACCCTGACCTCGGCGGATGATGCCAATACGAGTCTGGGAGGTCGTACGGCTCGTCGGAGGGTACCGGGTGTGGCGCCCGACGCGTGGGTCGTGAGCCTCCCTCGTATCGGTGCTGGAGGACCCAGATTCCCGTGCTGTCCACCCGAGTGGTCGGGTAGGCGCAGTTGGCCGGCGCCAAGATCAGCGGCCGGCTGCTCAGGGATGCACGGGCCGGAGGTGTTGGGGAGCTGTGGCTCCTGGTCCTCGACCTCGCTGCGCTTGGAGCTGCAGCCCTGAGGGGAGTTCTGGATCGTGGGCGTCGGGTTGACGCCTTCCGCACCGGTGGAGGAGAAGGCTGTCGCCTTGTCGGTGGCGTCCTCTTCCTCCTTGATGAGGACCTCCCTGCAGCAGTGTACCTTCCCCGGCCTGCTTTCACAGGCGGAAAGGATGACGGTCGGGACGGGCTCTCAGAGCTGGTCCTTGTGGGAACCGCTGCGCTTGGAGCTGCAGCCTGATCTCCCGGCCCTGCTGCTGCCTGTGTCGGAGCTGCGCTTGGAGCTGCAGCCTTGATTGTGGACACAGTTGTGGTGGAGGATGGACTTGATGGGGTGCTTGGTTGTTGCTGAGGCTGGGCTGGTACTGGAGCTGGAGGCTGCCCTGCCGCGCCTTGAGCTGCGGCCTGTGCCCGTTGTAGGATTGGGATCTGTTGGTGTCGGCCTCGGGCGATGACGGCGTCGTAGAGGTCGGGGTAGAGGTCTCGCAGATGCCGATAAGCGTTATCGGAAAAATCTGCTTGCCACGCCAGGAGGGAGCTCCGGTGCAAATCCGATGCCTCCTCCCAGGCGACCCTTGTCACCCCAACCTTGAACTCCCGCCAGGCCCACCGGGTGAGCTCGTCGAAGGCCTCGTAGTAGAGCTTGCGACGATGCGTCCACCCGCCCCTCTGACCACGGGCCGAGAAGGCCGGTGCCGGGTCCATGCACGAAGTGCGCTGACTACCGGACTGAGGGGGCCTAATCCCAAAAAGCAGTTACGGCTGATAACCACTCAACAGGGAAAGAAACACAGCGAACCAGAAACCGGGACCCTTATTAACCCCAGTCCGGTAGGCGAGCGCAAACCCTGGTTTTGATCTGATGGGCATCTTGAGCCAAATGGTCATTGCCATTCGACATGTCACTTGAAACACATGCAGTCAATGGGGCCTCTAACATCACATGCATGCACACCCTTCTGGGGTACCTCTTTGGGGGTCAAGGGGTCGTGATTATTCAACTTTCTTGTCACACAACATGGCCATGCTGGATTGAAAATCAAATGAGGCAGGACAAATGCAACGAAACTGCACTCCCCTCTCGGTTTCCTTTCGATGATATTGTTTATGGAAGGCCTGTGCCATCTACTGTTGTCCGGCGATAGTCGCTTGTGGCACAACCGAAATCAACCGAACACAAAACAATACGTAACGTTGTACGAAGCAAGTCTGCAACATACCAATCGGTGAACTCAGTGGCTCTCCTGGACAGGCTAAGCATAACACGGTGTATATTGTGAGCAGATGTTTGCAGCCCCTCACACTTGTACAGTTGGCCCGTCAACATCCAAGGCATACGCCTAGCAAAAAGTCACGTGCTAAACGTGTCCGGCCAGCCACGCGCCCGGCGTTGGGAACCCAAGGCTC